ATAGAATCATAGAATAGATTGGGTTGGAAAAGACCTCCAAGATCATCAAGTCCAACCCCTGATCCAACTCCAATTACTATATCATGGCACTAAGGGCCACATCCAATCTCTGCTTAAAAACCTCCAGGGATGGTGAATCCACCACCTCTCTGGGTAGGCTGTTCCAATGCTTGATTACCCTCTCTGTAAAGAATTTCTTCCTAACATCTAACCTAAACCTCCCCTGGCAGAGCTTGAGCCCATGTCCCCTTGTCCTGTTGTCGGTTGTCAAAATCCCTAATTAAAAGGAATGGCTGAAAGAGTGTGAAAAATAGGGCAGTAAGCAATTTTCAGGCCAAAGCCTTCTTCCACCTTTCCCTAACCTACTCTAACTGCCTGGGACCAGTTCCCAGGAGGTGCTGATAAACTCACCGTCAGAGCCAGCAGTTTTCCATAGGTGAGATGGGCTGGGATGTGGTCGCTCTTGGATCGCAGTGACTCCACATACCAGTGCTCTGCTTCTGGCAGCCGGCTCATTCTCATATAGGCTTCTCCTATAGGGGGAAACAAACGCTGGTGAGAATACTCAAAATATCTCAACGTTTCCATAAGTTGTTTATGATCTTCTATGTTTTAAATGTGTAAATCTTGAAAAAGATGAACTGATTTGAACACTTGCAATGACACACACGCAAAAAAAAAAAGCCCTAGAGGTGCTTGAATGAGGATATTGAGTTAAGACCTTACTAGTGCTGAAAGAGCACGGTTGAGATGAAACTCTTGGTGGAACAGAATTGCCAGAGAGAGTTCCAGATGCTAAGTTTCCGTCAAAAGTCTCAAAGTAACAGAAATTTTATCACATCTACTGCAGAAAAGCTACTTCTTTTCCATCAGTCTACATTGCAAAGCATAGAATTGCAGGGAGAAGATGGAAAATATTTTCATTTAATCACAATAAATCAAGAACCTATTTTGTTTTAAAAACTAGGGAAGTTTAAGAAAATAGTCCCAAAAATATATATCTTCCCAAAATTATGAAGTTTCGGTTTATCAGGTGCTAATACTGGAGGATCAAGAGAGGACTACAGTTGACCCAAGTAAAGGTCAGCTAAGTCTGCCTCCAGGGGAATCACTGTCCCCAGTTATGCACTACATGTAAATTAATAACTGTAAAGGCATCAGAGAGAGAGAGAACCAACGAATAAAGAACCAATGTTCTTTATTCAAGCTTGAAGCCAACAAACACACCCCCAAAACTTGGAGAAAAAGATGCTCAAAGAAGTAAAATAAGGAACTCATATAAGGAACTATCAAGTATTTACAGAGGCTATGGAGGATTTTCTTGATGAGAGAAAATTGGACAAGGCCCAGTGAGGTTTAGTTTTTCAAGTGGTTTTCTGGCTGTTTTTGTCACCAGAAGATCTGGATCCCAGGCAAAATGTAGAACATAAGTTTTGAGTTTCAGAAGTTAGGGTGTAGTGCATGCAAGATGACCAAGCCGCAGCCCACAGATAAAAATGAGCATGGTGTAGAGTCAGAAGTCATTTTGAGCTAAGGCTGAGGGAAGCCAACATGATTTTTATGAACATATAGAGTTTTTTTCCAAAAAGTGGTGCATGCCTGTAAATACAGCAGACCAGGATTTCTAACTCAAGGATCTACAGAGCATTCTGAATTCATGCACTGGTCTTGGATATCTGATTATACACACAGAAGCAGAT